CAATAATTATTTTGGTTGAAAACCCCATACATTGGGATCCTAAGTAGACACTGATCATTACAAAGTATTTTTACAGACTTTTTGTCAAAGATCAGTTCCAGTTAAATATTCCAGGTGGGCTGTCACCTTTACTTGACCTAATGTTATACTTGACAGGAGATGTGAAGTTCAACTCTGTGGAGCCATACACTAAAAACCGGCTTAGTGCTCTCCCATTTGCTGACATCATACGAGACTACAAAGTGATCTCAGACGGAGTGGTCCCAGAGAACCCGCTCAAGTTCCTCTACCCTGACATCCCCAAAAACGAGGCCTTTGGACGGCTTTACAACAATCAGCCTAACAAAGGCAAGAGCGCAATGCCATTCTGTCATTTAGAGTTCATGTTTTTTCAGTGCATGTTTTGAATGTTAGTTGGCTGACTCGACTGTAAGCTACAGCACTGACTTCGCTCACATCTTTGTTAAATTTCCAGTTTACCCATACATACCATCTACCCTGATCCCCATCTCGGAGATGCGGTGAGTTCATTTGCAGATTAAATGAGGCCCTCACTCAACTCACTTTGTATTAAAGTAACTTTTTTGTAAATTCTTTATCATAATTTTACCCTGGCATTTAGTTATCGGACCAAAGCTGGGGAATAAATATTGATAATGGCACATTTCTTCTGCAGTCAGTGCAACCCACAGCATGTTATGAGAAAATGGAAAATTATTTAGTAAATGCATTTCCACTGGTGAAAAGCAGTCGGTCACCTTTACTGTCTCCCTTTCCCTGTTATCGCAGCTCTAATGCAAGCACCACACCACCTCCTTGCCAGTCTCCTGAGCCCCCGATGACTCCTGGGGAGTTTGACATGCTCAGCGAACACCTGTGCTTCGACATTGACAATGTAAGTTTGCAGGCTTCTGTATTCAATGGACTGTATGATGTCTACATGCCATAAAAAGAACAAAACCACCAATGGACTGATGCTACTAGGCAGTAGTGTGTGTGTAGCCTTATATATTTTATTCATCTGTGCTGTGCCATAAAACCACTTTGTACAAAAGGTATTAAAAACATACAGCATCAGCGAGCCACAGTGTTGCACTGGGTGGCGTGTTCCTTTATTGCCGTGAACCCACACACTGTAGTTTATTTTGACTCAATCCCAAGCACCTTATACTGCTGTTGTAAATATTCTTTGGTTCGCCAAGTGTGTGTTAATCTGCAACTGAAACTAGTCCCAAGCAAATGCTCTTTTTCCTCTTGTTTGATATAAGCTACAATGCCACTGACTGTTGGTTTTGGTCTTTTCATGGGATTTGCTGACAATAGGAAAAATATAGAATAACACCAACTTTATCCTTGTACTGACGAGTTAAAAGTCAGGTATAAAGTCACTCAGATACAGGTTTAAGAAAAGAGATAAAATAAAAATTAATAATGATAATAGAATTGCAGAGGACAGAGTTTTTAAAGTTCCAAAAAAGATGGGCTTTTTATTTACCCCAAAAAATTAAGAAAAACATGCAAACAACATCAATATCAAATAAAGTGGATCCTAAAACAGATCGACAAAAGATAAGGAAACTCAAAATACAGCAAACTGAACTGCACATTACTACAAAAAACAACTAAGCTAACAAATAGGGGAACATATATACTGGCTGGCCAAACCAATAACACACAGGGGATGGACAAAGACACTAACTAAATAATCTATCAATAAACACTGAACAGACAGTCTGCGAACAACTAAATAATTTTCTTTAAATGTAAAAAAA